ACAGCCAGCCTCTCCACTGCCTGGTCCTTCTCCTTTCTTTGGGCCGACTAGAGGTCTTACGGAGCGTCGTGAGCCTGAGTCTCGTCCTGCGTCGCCTGAGTCTCGTCCTGCGTCGCCTGTTCGCACTGTTCGCACTGGCCGTCGTGTTCCGCGTCAACGTCCTCCAGCTGTCCCAGGCACGCACCAGATGGCACTTCGTCCTTCCACTGCTCCACAGCGTATCCCTCTGCCGTCTCCTCCTGCGTCCTCTCTTCATGACGTCCCTGACCCGCCGTCAGACCTTGCTCGTGCTGCCAGTCCTACTGTCACGCGTCTTCTCGCTACTGTTGTCACTGACCCTTCGTTTGAGTCCACTGCTGCGTCTGCCCTAGTTGCTGAGCTTGCTGACTTTGCTGCCGCCTGTCGTCTAGACTACGCCGCTAGTCTTGTTGCTGAGTCTGAGTCTGTCTGTCCTCCGTCCGTCGGGGGTAAGTGTGCTCTTGGCACGGACGTCCTTGAGGACAGACAGGAGGACTTTGAGTGTTTTGCCGCTGCTTTACCTCATCTCGTGTGCATGCTGATTGCACCTGAGGGAGACCCGGATGCACCAGACATCCCGACCCCGCGCTCTTACGCAGAGGCGATAGAGGGTCCCTACTCCTCTCAGTGGCAGCCATGGACGCAGAGATGGCTTCCTGGAAGTCCACAGGCACCTACGTCGACGAGGTTCCCCCACCTGGAGCGAACATCGCCAGTGGCATGTGGATTTTCAGGGTGAAGCGGCCGCCGGGTTCTCTGCATGTCTTCAAGGCGCGTTACGTTGCACGAGGCTTCAGTCAGCGAGAGGGAGTTGACTTCTTCCAGACCTTATCCCCTACCCCGAAGATGACCACTCTTCGGGTACTGCTGCACGTTGCCGCTCAGCGTGACTACGAGCTTCACTCTCTTGACTTCAGCATAGCCTTTCTACAGGGCAGCCTGAACGAGGAGATCTGGCTGCGCCGCCCACCTGGCTTCACTGGGTTGTTTCCTGCTGGTACCCAGTGGAGCCTCCGGCGGCCAGTCTACGGTCTCCGCCAGGCGCCCCGAGAGTGGCACGACACACTGAGGACGACTCTTGCGGCTCTTGGGTTTGCTCCTTCCACTGCTGACCCGTCGCTGTTTCTACGCACCGACACCTCTCTGCCGCCGTTCTACGTCCTCGTGTACGTCGACGACTTGGTCTTTGCTACTGCTGACACTGAGGGACTCGCCCACGTGAAGTTGGTGCTGCTGGAGCTGCTGGAGGTGCTGCTGGAGCTGCTGGAGGTGCTGCTAGAGCTGCTGGAGGTGCTGCTGGTACTGGTGCTGCTGGTGCTAGTACTGCTGGAGCTGGTGGAGGTGCTGCTGGTGCTGGAGCTGCTGGAGGCACTGCTGCTGCTGGCGGTGCTGCTGGAGCTGCTGGAGGTGCTGGAGCTGCTAGAGCCGCTGGTCCTGGAGGTGCTCGTACTGGAGGTACTGGAGCTGCTGGGACTGGAGCTGCTGAGGGGGTTGGAGCTGGAGGTGCTGAGCGGCCGCGGCCGTACTACGTTCCGCTCCTTCAGCAGGTTCTTGGTCTCCCGCCCTCTACTGGTCCTACTCCTCCCCTACTGAGTCCACCGCCTGTCCAGTCGCAGTCACAGTTACAGCCTGCCTCTCCGCTGCCTGGTCCTTCTCCTTACACTGCGCCGACGGGTAGTCTTACTTAGCGTCGTGAGCCTGAGTCTCGTCCTCCGTCGCCTGAGTCTAGTCCAGAGTCGCCTGTGTCGCGTCCAGAGTCGCCTGTCCGGGCTGTCCGCGCTGGTCGTCGTGCTCCACGTGAGCGTCCTCCTCCTGTCCTTGGCACTCACTATATGACCCTGCGTCCTTCCACTGCTCCACAGCGCGTCCCTCTGCCGTCTCCTCCTGCGTCCTCTCTTCCTGACGTTGCTGACCCGCCGTCAGACCTTACTCGTGCTGCCAGTCCTACTGTCGCGCGTCTCCTTGCCACTGTTGTCACTGACCCTACCTTTGAGTCCTCTGCTGCGTCTGCTCTAGTCGCTGAGCTTGTTGACTTTGCTGCCGCCTGTCGTCTAGACTACGCCGCTAGCCTTGTTGCTGAGTCTGAGTCTGTCTGTCCTCCGTCCGTCGGGGGTGAGTGTGCTCTTGGCACGGACGTCCTTGAGGAGAGACCGGAGGAGTTTGAGTGCTTTGCTGCTGCTTTACCTCATCTCGTGTCCATGCTGATTGCCCCTGAGGGAGACCCGGATGCACCAGACATCCCGACCCCACGCTCCTACGCAGAGGCGATGGAGGGTCTCTACTCCTCTCAGTGGCAGACAGCCATGGACGCAGAGATGGCTTCCTGGAAGTCCACAGGCACCTACGTCCACGAGGTTCCCCCACCTGGGGCGAACATCGTCAGTGGCATGTGGATTTTCAGGGTGAAGCGGCCGTCGGGTTCTCCGCCTGTCTTCAAGGCGCGTTACGTTGCACGAGGCTTCAGTCAGCGAGAGGGAGTTGACTTCTTCCAGACCTTCTCCCCGACCCCGAAGATGACCACTCTTCGGGTTCTGCTGCACATCGCTGCTCAGCGTGACTACGAGCTCCACTGCCTTGACTTCAGCACTGCGTTCCTACAGGGCACCCTGCACGAGGAGATCTGGCTGCGCCGCCCACCTGGCTTCACTGGGTCGTTCCCTCCTGGTACCCAGTGGAGCCTCCGGCGGCCAGTCTACGGTCTCCGCCAGGCACCTCGTGAGTGGCACGACACACTGAGGACTACTCTTGCTGCTCTTGGGTTTGCTCCTTCTACTGCTGACCCGTCGCTGTTTCTACGCACCGACACCACTCTGCCACCATTCTACGTTCTCGTGTACGTAGACGACTTGGTCTTTGCTACTGCTGACACTGAGGCACTCGCCCACGTGAAGTCCGAGCTGCAGAAGAGACACACGTGCACAGACCTGGGTGAGCTGACAAGCTATCTTGGCTTGCGGATCACCCGGGACAGAGCACAGCGCACCATCACCTTGACTCAGTCACACATGGTGCAGCAGGTCCTTCAGCGCTTCCGCTTCACGTACTCCTCGCCTCAGCCCACTCCTCTGCCTACCGGTCAGAAGAGACACACGTGCACAGACCTGGGTGAGCTGCGCAGCTATCTTGGCTTGCAGATCACCCGGGACAGAGCACAGCGCACCATTACCTTGACTCAGTCACACATGGTGCAGCAGGTCCTTCAGCGCTTCGGCTTCACGTACTCCTCGCCACAGTCCACTCCTCTGCCTACTTGCCACTCGCTCTCAGCTCTGCCTTCGGATGACTCCGTAGAGCCGAGTGGCCCGTATCCAGAGCTTGTGGGCTGCCTCATGTACCTGATGACCGCACTCGACCTGACCTTGCCTACCCTCTAAGCATCCTGGCATGCTATGTTGCTCCTGGGAGACACCGGAAGGAGCACATGGATGCCGCTAAGAGGGTGTTGCGCTACTTGTGCAGTACGTCGGGCATGGGGCTCGTGCTTGGAGGACGGGCTCGAGTTGCCCTCACTGGTCAAGCAGACGCTTCCTGGGTTGACGACTTGGCTACGCAGCGGTCGTCACAGGGTTACACTTTCAGCCTTGGCTCCGGCTCTGTTTCGTGGCGGTCTACCCGCTCGTCTTCTGTTCTCAGCTCCAGCTGTGAGGCTGAGATCTACGCAGGGGCCATGGCTGCACAGGAGTTACGCTGGCTCACCTACCTGCTGTCCGACATGGGAGAGCAGCCTCGTTCTCCTCCAGTTCTGTACGTCGACAACAAGGCCATGATTGCCTTGTGTCAGGAGCACAGACTGGAGCACAGAACGAAGCACATCGCTCTGCGCTACTTCCTTGCTCGAGAGTTGCAGCAGCGTGGTCAGCTTCGTCTTGCTTACGTGGCCTCTCGGGCCAACACTGCTGATATCTTCACCAAGGCACTTCAGCCTTGTGATCATCAGCGTTTCTGTACTGTTCTAGGCCTTGTGCCTACTTGGCCTCACTTGCTCACTTCTTGACTTTGCTTGTACTGTGATCTATATACTTATACCTGCATGCTTACACTTGCTAGGTTGTGATCACTGTACTGTTTGTTCTCTTTTATATAACTCTGCATGTGAACTGACCTTGTGGCCATTTGCTTGTGCTCAGAATGCGTGGTGACTTCGTGATCCACCCTGAGCTTGCTTTGCTTTTCTTGACTGGTCTTGTGACCTCTTGTTCTCCCCCACTTTGCCTATGGGGGTGTGTCAAACTTATATGCTGTCTGTGTAGGCTGTAGTGGGGTAGCCCATATGGGGTACAGCACATTTAGGGTTTCCTACTTGTACCACATTGCTGCTAGTTTCCATCATTCTCGTTTCCTATCTTTCACAGGCGCTTGTAATTGAGGAAAGGGCATAAGCGCATGCGCTTATATAATGACAAATACAGAAATACAATTTTAACACATCAAACTCTACATCTTTGTCTCGCGACCTCAATTGAATCGAATTTTTAGAGCGTCCGAAATCAGAATCGCGTGAGGGCGATTTTCTGACGGTGCACAGAACTCAAGCACGTCAATTTTCAGTCGTGCCAGCTCATCGTGACTGGACGCGCAACCTGTGAGGTCCGCGGGAGTCAAACACAGTGAAAACGGAAAATGCCTCGCTGCAAAATTGGAAATCGTTACCGTTTTAATCAGGATATAAAGAAATAGTTATACATGCACTTATAATCGATCAGTGTTTTACAGGGGGGGGCGCTTATAATTGAGGACCAGCCATAAGCGCCATGCTCCAGATAGAAGTGCCGGCGCTTTTAATAGGACGGCGCTACTATCCGCGGTGATACGGTACTAGTCATGATCATTCCGCTATGCATCACTCATGAGAGTTTCTACATAATCTGGTTAATTGGCGGTGTTGGAAAATCAGGCTAAATCAATGCCGACAATATATTCATCGGTATGCATGTATTGTTCACAGCACCAGTCACACAAAGCTGGCAAGTCCAACTCCTGACCTAAGTATCCCGAAAAGCACCAGCTTCACTGATTTTAGCACCAGCACCGTCAGCAGCATCAATACCAGCAGCAGCAGACGCAGCGAGCTGCTTCTCCAGATAAGCCTCCACCAGGTGCGACCCACACGCACGCTGCACCACAGGCATGGTGGCGGGCGAGTCCAGGCGCACAAACTCACCCCGGACCCTGCCAGTTGCACTGCCTGCTTGCGTGGTTGGGTGGGCAAACTGGCGGCGAGCAGCGGCAATGGCGTGGCGGATGGCGGAGTGGATGGAGACGGCGAGCAGCAGCGGGGGCTCGCCAGATGCTGATGAGGGCAGAAGGGGGGCAGAGTGGGGGAACGTGGCAGATGGGAGAAGGGAGTTAGATGAGGACCATGATGTGGTGGATGAGTGATGGGTGGAGACCTGTGCCCCCTCCTGTGTGTTGCTTGCGGTGTTGTGGTACACAGGGCCCTCACAAGTACAATGCTAGGGATGACTACTTGATGCACCCTGAAGGAACCCCATGCTATGCAGTAACGTGGAGGCAGAGAGGAGCAAACAAGGGAGAAGCAGAAGCGTGAGGGCGAAGAGCAAAGGGAGTGGGTGAGAGGAGTGAGAGAGGAGGGAGGAGGTGGGGGTCACATTTGGAGGAGAGCACGCCTTGCTTGTTGGCAGTCCCATGCAGGAGGGAGACGTTGAGCTGACGGGGCACGGTGTCGAATGATGGCACCTTGTACGCCCACGTGCCGTCCGACAGCAGCTTCCCGGTAGCTTCCTCCACCAGCACCTCTTCCGTGGTGAAGAAGCCCTGCCCCTGCACGAACGCCCCCTCCACCTGGCGAGGGTGTGGGCAAGAGGGAAAGAGGGCGAGCGAGAGCGCGAGGGAGACAATGGAACAAACTGCACCTCTTCCAAAATGAAGTAGCCCTGCCCCTGCACGAGCGCCCCCTCCACTTCACGCATGCGAGAGGGAGGGGGAGGGTGAGGAAGAGGAACAGGGGGAGGGAGAGGGAGAGGGAGAGGGAGAGGGAGAGGGAGAGGGAGAAGGAGAGGGAGAGGGAGAGGGAGAGGGAGAGGGAGAGGGAGAGGGAGAGGGAGAGGGAGAGGGAGAGGGAGAGGGAGATGAGGGAGGGGTAAAACATGGTCAGTGGGTGCGCACACACGCAAACACGTTTCGAAACACGCTAAGCGATTACAAACTGTGATAAGAAACACGATTTCTGGGGAACGTCCAGGAAGTGAAAGGATGGAGAGGTACTTGTGGATGCATGCATGTGGCGTGGCGTGCACACGCGCCTACCTGGCCAATGTCGACAGCCGGGTTGAGGCTGCGCGCACAGTCATAGTGTATGTCAGCACGCAGCACTGCCACTGCCCCTGTCAACACCTCCACCTCCACCTGCCACACCATTGCACGTTATGTTAGAAATATATTGTAGCATGCCAACACAATTGTAACTGCTCCTGCCCCACCCTCTGGTGACAGCGCGAGCACCATCCATCTCACTTAGAGCCCTGTCTACCACGCCCACTTCAAGCATATCGAACTGCGCTGCTTTTTCATCCGCGAGCTCGTTCAACAGGGCCATCTTGCCGTTCGGAAGATTGCGGCCGAGACCAATCTAGCCGACATCTTCACCAAGGCTCTCCTTGTGTTAGCATGCTAAGGGCTTGTGTTAGAATTACATTGTAGCATGCTAAGTTTTATGTGTGCCTGTACATCAAATGTGGTGTATAATTGGGTTGAGACTACACCCAACATTGGGTGTAGCCTTGCAAGTCGAGGTGCCAATCCAACCCAATTGTGGTGGAGCCCCTAATTGCAACCCACTGGACCATTGGTTCCCTCACTCCCCAAAGTGAGGACAACCCAACCCAATGAACCATAGGTTGCCCCACTTCTCCAAACATGGTCAACCCAACCCAATGGGCCATTGGTTGTCCCACTTCCCAAAGTGGCATTAACCCAACGTACTGGGCCACATGTTGCCCCACTTTCCCAAGTGAGGACAACCCAACCCAGTGGACCATAGGTTGGCCCAATCCCCCAAGTTCCACCTGTCTCCCTTTCCCTCCTAACCTTCTCTTCCCAACTATGTATGCTTGTTTCACTTTCTAGTAAAATCATTCATTCCAATTAATTTCACACGTGCAGGGTGAGGCAGACGAACGGAAATGCAAAGATGAGCGTAAGATTGGCATAGACTGCGCAGAACGGAAGCATGGCAGAGGCGGAACAATGTGCATGCATGCATTGGTTCTTCACTCACCAGCAGCCAGCCACACACAGGGTTGAGGAGTACCTCTGAGACGGCGGCACCAAAGGTGAAGTAGGAGGCGTGGGAGGGGTCTGGCTGAAAGTGCGCCTGCGCTGAGAGCGTGAGCTCCATGGCCTTGGCCTGCGCTGCCACCTCCTCCCACCTCGCCACGTCACCCTCCTCCACCGCCACGTCATCTTCTCCTATTCGTGACTCCCCTTTAATAAGTCCGCTATCCCGCTTCACCCGCTGGCATGCCTTGGCCTGCTCGGCTGCAGCCTTGGCGGTGAGCAGCGTGGGCAGCAGCTTTTGACAGGCGAGCAGCACGGCGGCACAGGAGGCTTCAGAAGTGGAGCTGGCAGCCGTCATTCCCGCATTGCCCATCGACAGGCTGTCGTTCTCCACCACTCTCATTCGCCACACCTCCACCCCCCACGGTTCCGATACGTTGCTGCTGCTTCCGCTGCCACCACCACTGCTGCCACCGCTGCTGCAGTTGCCGCTGCCAGTCCCGCTCCCACTCCGGCTGTTACTGCTGATACCAGCATCTGCTGTGCCGGTAGCAGTGGTGGTCCAGAGGGCGTTGAGGCCGAGGGCAGCGGCCTGGCGCAGCTTGGTGGAGAGCCCCTGCCCCATCTCCACACCACCCGCCTCCACCACCACCGACCCGTCGCCAAACACCGTCACGCGAGCGGGCTTGGCGAGCAGCGGCACATGGTAGAGTGCGGGCGCCATGGCCAGGCCCCGCTTGCGCCACACGTGTGCTGCGTTGAATGCCTCTACCGCTGCTGCACGCTCGGTGTAGCCTGCAAGGGCCTTCGCCTCCCTCCACACCCGCTGTGCTATCGCTCCCTCGTCCTCATCCCCCTCCTCGTTATCCTCCCCCTCTGCTGCAGCAGGAGTGGCAGGAGCAGCAGGAGCAGCAGGATTGGCAGCAGCAGGAGGAGCAGGAGGAGGAGCAGGGAAGGCGGAGGGGAAGAAGTCACGGAGAGCGTGGGTGGTGATAAGGTTGCGCTCACGCACGAGCAGGGGGGGCAGCCCCAGGGCAGCAGCGACGTGGTCCATCACACTCTCCGCCACCACCACCGCCTGCACCTCGCCTGGCGCCCTCACTGGGCTGCGCGTCGGTAGGTCCGTCCTGAACGTCGGCAGAGGCGGGGAAGTGCGGTGAGGGAGGGGGGGTGAGTGAGGGAGAGCACGGCACGAGAGGTGGCTGCCCGGTCCAAGACGCTCTCCGCCACTGGCATGGCACAGCACGGCACGGCACGGCACGGCACGGCACGGCACGGCACGGCACGGCACGGCACGGCACGGCACGGCACGGCACGGCACGGCACGGCCTGCACCTCGCCTGGCATCCTCACTGTGCTGCATGTGGGCAGATCCATCGTGAAGGGCGGTAGGGGCAGGTAGGGAGAGTGCGGAAAAGCATGAAAGGCTTAATGCACTCAAATGACGAAACGGACGAAACGTGGTGTAAGTTATGAGGGAGAGAGGAGAGGAGAGGAAACGAGAGAGAAGGTGGGAGCTAGGGCAGGGGAGGCATGGGGATGACAGCGAGGGAGATGACAGTGCAAGTGGCGATGGAATGAAGGACATATATTGACCATGGAGTGAGCAATGCGTGCCCATCTCAGAGTAACACAGAACTCTGTGATCAATCCTCAGCCTTGGCATCAAGCTAAAACCCACCCATTCCTCAACCTCCACTTTCACCAACCAACCTCAGCCTCCCACCCATCTCCCAATCCCTCCCATCGCCACCCCCTCCCTTCGCCTCTTCCACACAACCCCCATCCTCCCATCTCCACAACACTCCCTCCCCCTCCACCGCACCTGACCACTCTGAAGTCGACCTCCAGCGCCCCCCAGGCATACTGCGCCAGAGCGGGACCATAGTTGGCAGCGAGCCAGCAGCTGGTGCTGGCGCTGCTGCCGCCGTTCAGCACGGCCCGCACGCGCAGTGCGAGCACGCGCCCCGTGCCGTCAAACCCCACGTCGTACCGAGCCCGCGCCTCGTGTCGCCCGCCCACTAGGGCCGTGTCCGCCTTGCGGTCCAAGGCCATGCGCACGGGGCGGTGCAGTCGCTGCGCTGCCAGCGCACACGCCACCGCCACCTGGTGGTGAGTAAGGGGGAGGGGCGAGGGGGGGGGGAGTTGGTGGGGGAGATTGGTAGGGGAAGGGGGTGAGTGGTTAGCAAAGTGGAGTAGGAAGAGGAAAGAACGTGGGAACAGTGGGCACGGGGAGTGGGGCGAGTCGCATGTTTGTGTGTGTGTGTGCCTGTATCAAACGTGCTGATAGCAGGAGAGATTTCTGCCAGATCCAGCATTTGCATATCGTGCCTTCATTAAGGAACAACGCCTCAAATCTCATCCAGCACCCACCGACGCCAATCCCCTCTGAATTCCCACTAAAACCCCCTTCAATCTCCATAGGACCCCCCTACACCAACCCCTTTCCATCACCTCACAAGCCCATCCCCACACCCGTCCCCTCCCCATTCCCATCCCTTTTCCATCCCCACCCGCTCCCCATCCCCATCCCAGCCCCACCCCGCTCCCCATCGCACTAACACGGCTGGCCTGAACGGTCTTGCCACCGAACGCGCCGCCAAGGCGGCGGGTGACGACGCGCACGCAGGAGAGGGGCAGCCCCAGGGCGAGCGCCACGGCCTGCTGCGTGTGCTCGGGGCTCTGCGTGGCACTGTGCACCGTCACGCTGCCCCCCTCGTCTGGTACCGCCAGCGCTGCCTGCGGCTCCAAGTAGAAATGCTGCTGTGAGCCTGACCGCACCTGGGGGCGCATGGGGGGTGTGGGGGGGTGGGATGGGTGGGGCGAAGGGAAGTGGAGGGGGGGAGAAGGGAGGGGAGGGGAGGGGAGCTGAAGGTAGGGGAGGAAAGGGGAGGGGGGAGGAGGGAAGGGAAGTGCAAGGGAGGGGAGGGGAGAGCAGAGAGGGGAGGAATGGGTCCACACATGGAGCTCTCCCCATGCCGCTATCGCCCAGCTCTCACCATCGCCCGCCCCTCTCTCAGCATGGTTGCTTGCTTGCTTCCGCATGAGCCGTGCCTTCCTCACCACATGAGCCACATGCCATCCTCACCACATGAGCCGTGCCATCCTCACCACATGAGCCACATGCCATCCTCACCACATGAGCCGTGCCATCCTCACCACATGAGCCGTGCCATCCTCACCACATGAGCCGTGCGATCCTCACCACATGAGCCGTGCCATCCTCACCACATGAGCCGTGCCATCCTCACCACATGAGCCGTGCCATCCTCACCACATGAGCCGTGCCATCCTCACCACATGAGCCGTGCCATCCTCACCACATGAGCCGTGCCATCCTCACCACATGAGCCGTGCCATCCTCACCACATGAGCCGTGCCATCCTCACCACATGAGCCGTGCCATCCTCACCACATGAGCCGTGCCATCCTCACCACATGAGCCGTGCCATCCTCACCACATGAGCCGTGCCATCCTCACCACATGAGCCGTGCCATCCTCACCACATGAGCCGTGCCATCCTCACCACATGAGCCGTGCCATCCTCACCACATGAGCCGTGCCATCCTCACCACATGAGCCGTGCCATCCTCACCTCTCCGCTGATCTTCAACGGGCTCTTGTCGAAGGCTTCCTGGAAGTTTCCTCGACGAGGCATGCAGTTGAGGAAGGCGGGGTGGAGAGGGAGGAAGGCCCCCTCTGCCTCCGCCTGCTCTATTGTCACAAGGGGACCCCGCCTGCCCCGGCCTGCACTGGATGCATCTGTTGATACAGCTTCCTCTGCTGATCCTGCTGCTCTTGCTGTTGGTGATGCTTCTTCTGCTGCTGATGCTGCTCCTGCTGCTGCTGCTGGCTGCATAGCTGCAGGCAGAGGAAAGGGGTGGTAGGAGCACTGCACCTTGCGTGCGCCCTCCTGTGCGTGGCGGTACGAGTCTGCCACCTGGCGGATGATTCACGATTCACGGTAGGGTTGGGTTGGGTGTGATTGGTGAAGAGGGAGGGTAGGAAAACGTGGAAAGGAAGTGGCAAGAAGAATGGTTGAGATGGTGAGTCGTTGAACTCGCAAAGGAGAAAAAGCGATGAGAGAGCAGGGAGCGGGGTTCAATGTTCATAGCGCCATGTAGACCCCCCTTTGTCCCAGCGCCCCTCCAATACCCCTTGTACACCACCTGCCACCCAGCACCCACCACCCAGCAGGGGCCCCCATGGCACCCAGTACTGACCACGAGGGCCACAGGTTGGCCATGAAACTCCGTGCTGTCGTGAGCAAACAGCGTGTCCGCCGCCCCCACAAGCAGTGAGGCAACGTTGGCCCCCCCGGGCGGCAGGTGCGAGGCGTCCAGCACCGCCTCCACCCCCGGGGAGGCCAGCGCTGCAGCGTAGCAGCGCGCGGTGATGCGCGCACAGGGGTGTGTGGCCACTGCAAAGGCTGCGTACAGACACGCGGCTGGCGCTGGCATGTCGTCCACGTACCTGGCATGGCCTGGGAGGGGAGGGAGAGGAGGGAGATGGGGGAGAGAGAGGGGGGAGAGGAGGGAGATGGGGGGAGAGAGAGGGGGGAGGGGAGGGAGATGGGGGAGAGAGAGGGGGGAGAGGAGGGAGATGCGGGAGAGAGAGGGGGGAGAGGAGGGAGATGGGGGAGAGAGTGGGGGGAGAGGAGGGAGATGGGGGGAGAGAGAGGGGGGAGGGGAGGGAGATGGGGGAGAGAGAGGGGGGAGAGGAGGGAGATGGGGGAGAGAGAGGGGGGAGAGGAGGGAGATGGGGGGAGAGAGAGGGGGGAGGGGAGGGAGATGGGGGAGAGAGAGGGGGGAGAGGAGGGAGATGGGGGAGAGAGAGGGGGGAGAGGAGGGAGATGGGGGAGAGAGTGGGGGGAGAGGAGGGAGATGGGGGAGAGAGTGGGGGGAGAGGAGGGAGATACAATGGCAGGCACAAGCAAGGAAGAGGGGCATTGCGATGCGACATACCTGTGGCCTGCAGGTCCGCACCCAGCTTGGGCAGCGGCAGGGCGAGAGGAAAGACGTCCCTGGTGACACTGAAGACCTGCTGGCCCCTCATCACCTCGTGCTGCTGCCCGCTGCTGCCATGCGCTCCATCAGTGCTGTCAGCACCAGCAGTAGCGCCACCACCCTCCCCAGGGCAGCGTGTGTTGCTGCCACCCACTGTGCCATCCCCATTCCCTATGCCCTTCCTTGGCAGGTCCGCCTGGTGCAGGCTGGTGTGGGGCAGGTTGGTCTGGGGCAGGAGGCGGGAGAGGAAGCAGAAGAGGAAGCCAACAGCGGCCTCCACGCGGTACTGCCCCCACCTCGTGCCCTCAGCGGGCACCACCTCCTCCCTCACCGCCCGCACCGCTGCCAGCACGCTGCCAGGTGTCAGCACGCCATTGGCTGCCAGCAGACAGGCCTCGGCGCGGCGGGCTCGGATGGCGTGCGGGCCGTTGAAGGCGCCGAATACAAGGCAGGCGGAGAGGATGGTGGGGGGCGGGGGAGGGCAAGAGGAGGAGGTGGAGGAGGAGGAGGGCGGTGGAAGGGAGGAGGGGGAGATGCAGAGGAGGAAGGCAGCGTTGACATAGGCATAGGCGTTGCCAGAGGGGCGGGCAGAGGCGCGGAAGGAGTCAAACACGAGCTCAGGAGTGGCAACGGAGGGCGAGGAGGAGGAAGGGGGGGAGGAAGGGGGTGCGGGGCAGGGCAGGAAGATGGAGTGCAGGAGAGTGGTGGGAGGGAGTGGGGAGCGGTGAAGGAAGTCCTCAAGTGGTATCTCCTCCCATACCCACCCATCGCTGCCTGCTGTGCTACCTGCTGTGTCAGCACCCAGCAGGCTGCTCCCAGTCCCCAGGCTCGCAAGGAGAGACGCAGAGACAGAGGCCGGGGGGGTGGCAGTGGAAGCGGCAGTGGGGGCGGGAGAGGGAGTGGCGGTGCGCACGGAGGCATGGAGGGCCAGCAGCAGAGTGGCAGGGTCGGAGGGGAAGGAGCTGCGAGACACAGCGAGCACAAGGTTGCCCCCGATGCTGGCAGCGTTGCGCACATGCGGCCCCGCCACCCTCCTCACATGGGCCGCCACTCGCGACAACACTGGTGCCGCCGCCGCCGCCGCCGCCGCGGCTGCTGTTGCTTCCCCTTTGGCGTCATCCCAGCCGTGGATCACAGGGCGTCTGTACTCTGTGCTGGCGGGGACCGCAGCGCCCTTCCCCGCCACGGCCTCCAGCACTGCAATCACATCCGATAGAGTCACAGCCGCACCAAACCTAATCCCCATCACACGCTCCTTCCCCACCTCTCCACCCTCGTCCCCTTCACCCTCCTCCCCAGCAGGCCCCTCCTCCCACGCCACGCGCTGCAGGTCCGGCAGTCCCTTGACGTCCACTAAGGTCACATGCGCCATGGTATCAGAGCGCGCCAGGTCAGGATACACACCCGCTGCCGTGCTGCCAGCCACCAGCCGCACCTCACCCCACTCACTCTCACAATTGCTCCCTCCGTGCCTTCCCCTCAGCAGCACCGTTCTCAGCTCCTCTAGACTCCTGGGCGCCACCCACGTTACCTTCCTGCTCCTCCTCCGTCCCTGCCCCTGCTGCCCCTCCGCCTCCTCAGCACCAGCTCTTGTACTGTTAGCCCCGTCACCGTCACTACCATCACCTGCCACGGCCACTGCGTCTGCTTCTCCCTCCAATTCTGATTCTCCCTCCACCCCTGCTTTCTCCCAGTGCTCCCACACCAGCATTTCATCTCCCACGCCATCCTCCCCCCTCCCTGTGCCCCCCTGCTGCCTGCTGGCGTGCTGCTGGGCCTCCAGCTTGAGCCATGCGGGGAAGGGCGGGTCGCAGAGGGGGTTGTAGCGCGGGAGGGGCTTGCCACGCGCGCTGCACACCCCACTGCACTCAGCGCTGCACTTGCTCCGCTGCTGCAGCCCTTCACCGCCCTGCCCTGGCGCCCCAGCAGGTGCAGCAGGGGCGAACTCGCTGAGCCCCACCACCCTGCACGCCCTCGCCCCCGCCACTGCAGCAGCACGGCCAGCAGCGCACGACCCCAGCTCCTCCAGATCCATCAGCCCCGCTGCTCCTGCTCCCGCTGCTGCGCCGTCTGCCCCGCCTGCACCTGCACCTGCGCTGCTAGTGGTGCGGCCAGCAAAGCTCTTGCAGGCGTGGAGGATGGGGCGGTACCCCGTGCAGCGACACAGGTTGCCCGCCATCGCCTGCTCCGCCTCCTCCTCTGACAACCCCGCCACCACCTCCACCCCCGCCCTTTGCCCTCCCCCGCCCTCACCAGCTGCAGAGGCTTGGTGGCGGCGCAGGGCAGCATAGAGGGCGATGGCGACGCCGGGCGTGCAGAAGCCACACTGCGACGCGTGGAACCCCGCCAGCCGCTGCTGCACCGCGTGAGGCACCACCGCCCGCCCGCCCTTGTAGCAGCTGTGCGGGTCCCGCTGCTGCTGCTGTGAAGCTGCGTTGAAACATGCGCCGTCAGCTGCACCCATATCCGCGCCCTGAGACGCACCAGGGGATGCACCCGGGGCAGCACCTCTCCCTGGAGGGGACTCCGAGTGCGGTGGCAGCGGTGAGAGGCAGAGGCCCTCGGCGGTGGTGACGGCGGCGAGGTGCAGCGAGGCGAGTGGCAGCAGGCAGGCGTTGAGCGAGCGGTCGTCCACCGTGTGGGTGAGCGGGTCGTAGCGCGCCACCATCACTGCACATGCCCCGCACCCACCTGAGCGCGTTATGTGAGGGGTAGGGAGGGGTGGGTGGAAGCAGGGAAAAGGGTGAAAAGGCGGATTGAAGGCACATGCGCGTGAGAGACGCCATGGGCGAGCAGAGGGACAGGTGCAGCACGCGTGCGCCGTGGGTTGAGCAGTGACGCAGCAGGACGTACGTTGGGTGTTCTCAGGAGCTGTGAGGCATGCTCAGGGAGGGGCAAGAGGGCAAGGCTCCCACGACCAACGACCGCGACAGCAGCCCAGGGGCGCGCACCTTCCCCGCAGCCCAGCTTGGTGCCTGTGAGCGCAGTTCTGCTGCGGAGGAATTCGCTGAGCGACATGCGCGGATCCACGTCGCGCACCGCCACGCGCCGCCCGTTCACCGCCAGCACCAGCGCCGCCGCGCGGCTAGAGGAGGCCGTTGCGCCACAGCCGCCGTTAGCCGCTGCGGATGCAGCGCGCGCCATGGCGGAGAGCGGACGTGGGTGCCAGTGCAGGTCCGCAGTAGCATATAGTGCGCGCGTGCTGCGCGGACTGCCGCCTGTGGGCGTTCACGCTGGGTTACCGCAGGTGGCGTACGGCTGTGGTGGCGCTCGCTCTCCAGAAAGAGCCGAGGCGAGGCGAGGCGAGGCGAGGCGAGGCGAGGCGAGGCGAGGCGAGGCGAGGCGAGGCGAGGGGACGCGAGGGACGCGAGGGGAGGTGCGCTGCAGCGCGAGCTAAGGCAGGCGCGCAGGGAGAACGGTGCTGACTGGCGGAGTATCCTCGTGGTCCGATCAAGAGATCTAGAGCGCCAGAACTTGTGAGAAGGATGGGAGGGCACGCGGGGGAGCAGGTAACTTCGGCGCAGTGGCGCAGCTTCCGCCGTCTTGGCGGGCAAGCGGATGGCGTGCTCGCCGGCTCGTAGCCGTCGCGCGGAGAGCACTGCGGGCAGAGGGCACGGCGAGGTAGCGCGTGGTGGAGCAGACAGGGCGGGTGGTAGCGTCGAAGGGGTGGGTGGCTGCCAAATGGGCGTCTGGACGAGACGCACTTGCGGGGCCGCGTGCACGGCGCGGCGCTGCGCTGCTCTGCGCTGCGCCTGATGGCGCATGGCCCGGGAATGCGCGAGCGGCGAGGCGAGGACGCCTCGAAGCGGCCGCGCGGGCCCGTCGGGATGGTAGCTGTCATCGTCCGTGACGCCGCTGCTCGCACGCACGACACGCGCGACTCCCACGCGCGCATGGCGTGCAGGAGCAGCCTCGTAGAGAATTCTGGGGGAGAGCGAATTGCAGCTTGGAAACAGTCCTAGTCTGTCACCACCATTCACTCGAGGCTGTCGTAGTCGCTCCAACATGAGGACTCCGACCACAACCAAAGCCGCAACGAAGCGTCGAGCAGCTGTTGATACACACAACTCAAGTCGTGCAATGAATGTAGAAATTCATTACTGTAGTCTGCCCTTAGCGAGGATGCCCAGAAGGCATCACGTCATTTGGGTTCGGCCAATACTTTCGGCCCTAACCACTTCCGAGTCGCCCCGCACCAAAGGCAACTCTCCCAATACTCGCACGTCCCGAGTAGTCTGGTTTCGCCCTATAAATGCTTGCTTCCTTCATTGTTCTTACGAGTGCAATTGAGTGAGCGAGCGAGAATTGCACTATCGAAGCAAACAATACAGTTGAGCGAAAAGCATGAGCGAAGTTATATAGCGAAGCTAGCGTGGTAACGGTAATGCGGGAAATCGGGGTGCGCTACGGGCCTAGCGCCGAGGTTGGGAATTGTCGAGGCGGAGGTCCGGAGCGCGGGTTACCAACCGAACCGTTAGGTTGGGTCGCATCGTGAACAGTGGCGGGAGTCGTGGTCGAGGCGAATGTCGCGAGCGGGTAACGTTCACGGATGGGTGCCGATGGCGGGAACAGGCATGTACGCGGTAAGCAGGGACGCGAAGTAAGGAAAATGAATTTTCCTTACACTACCCCCCTCCCCAAGGAGGCCCCTCTTACGAGAGTGCGTGTACATCTCGAAAGTTTCGGCTACGCAGATACTCAGTCAGGACAGGGTGATTCTCAATTGTTTCCAGGGGGACCTAGTTGTCTTCGGTGGGCGTGCGGTCTTTCCAGCGGATCAGAAATTCGATCCTGCGGGCTCCCCGTGGGTCACGTACTCGGTGGCTCAGTATTTTTTCGGGCGTGATGATTGGCTCTGTCGGTGGTCGTGTCATGCTGGCGGGGCGGTTGCGAGGCAGTTGGCTGGTGGATGGTACGTATGGGCGAAGCAGGCTGACGTGGAATGACGTGCTGACGTACCAGTCAGCAGGGAGGAGGAGGTGGGCGGTGACGGGTGTGATCATGTGGCTGATGCGAAATGGCCCGCCATATCGGGGGCGGAGTTTTGGGGTGATGGGCAGGCGGAGATTTTGAGTGTCGAGTAATACCAGGTCGTCTGGTTGGTAAGTGACGGGGCGGCGGTGTCGGTCGGCGTTGCGCTTAGCGATGACGTTTGATTTTTTATTGCTTCTGCTGCTCGGGTCCGTGCTGCTTGCAGTATTGTCAGAACTGTGCATTTATATGCTCTAGGCTGTAGTGGGGCACTCCTTATGGGGTACAGCCCAATTAGGTTTTGCTATACAAACCTTGTACTGCTGTCATTCTAGTCATTCCTTCTTTCCTATTTTTGACATGGTTTCAGAGCAGGTTCCCTAGTGGGAACGTTTTTTTAGGGCCCACCACGATATATTTTTTTTCCTGCCCTGCCCGAAGCGCGCCTCGCGCCTGCCTCACCTGCGCCGTCGCGCGCCCTGCCCTACTGCCGCCCGTTGCGGCCCTGCCCTCCCGGCCCGTCGCGGCCCGTCGCGGCCCTGACCTAGCCGCCCGTCGCGGCCCTGCCCTCTAGCCGCCCGTCGCGGCCTGACCTAGTCGCCCGTCGCGGCCCTGCCCTGCCGCCCCCGGTTGCGGCCCTGACCTCGCCGCCCGTCGCGGCCCTGCCCTGCCGTCACCCGTCGCGGCCCTGCCCTCAGCCGCTCGTCGCGGCCCTGCTCTACTGCCGCCCCGCCGCGGCCCTGCCCTGCAGCCGCCTTGTCGCGGCCCTGCCTTGCTGCCGCCCCGTCGCGGCCCTGCTCTGCCGCCGCCTCGTCGCGGCCCTGCCCTACAGCCGCCCCGTTGCGGCCCTGACCTAACCGCCAGCTGCGGCCCTGCCCTGCACCCGCCCCTGGTAAGCGCCCGCCCTGCTAAGCGCGCCGCCCAGCCGAGCCACGCCACCCAGCCGAGCCGCGCCGCCCTGCCGAGCCGCGCCGCCCTGCGGAGCCGCGCCGCCCTGCCTAGCCGCGCCGCCCTGCCCTACTGAGCCGCGCTGCCCTGCCCGCGCTGCCCCTGCTGCTACTGCTGCTACTGCTGCTTCTGCTGCTACTGCTGCTCCTGCTGCTACTGCTGCTACTGGCGCCATGGCTAGCCCTAATGTTCTTACCTTCGATGCTGAGGGTCGTGCGGTTGACTTCGACGTTTGGGTAGATGACCTGCAGCTCTTTCTTCAGTGCGACTCTAGGGACGGAGTCTCGCTTTTCTATCACACGTCCGGCGCCTCTGCTGCACCTGCTGCCACTGCTGATAGTACGGTTCGCTCGCAGTGGACTACTCGTGACGCTGTTGCTCGCCTAGCTGTTCGTAGTCACCTGCCGTCTGCTGAGCGCGCGCACTTTGGCCAGTACAAGACTGCTAAGTCTTTGTATGACGCTGTCGTAGCGCGCTACTCCTCCCCTGCCACTGCTGCCCTCAGCCGCCTCATGCTGCCGTACCTGTTCCCTGACCTGGCCGCCTTTGCCACAGTCGCTGACCTCATTACTCACCTCCGCACTAGTGACACCCGCTACCGCGCTGCGCTTCCCTCCGAGTTCTACGCCAAGAACCCCCCCCCCATGTACATCACCCTCTTCTACCTAGTCACCCGTCTCCCTGACTCTCTTTGCTCAGTCAGGGACCACTTTCTCTCCCTTTGCCCAACCGAGCTCACCGTCGACCTGCTAGAGGAGCGCCTCACCGCAGCTGAGAAGAGCATAGTTGCTGTAGGTGCTTCTCGCGGCGACCCTCGCGCCCCTTTCTTTGAGGGGTGTTCCCCCGTTCCCCTTCTGCCCTCTGTTGCTTCTGCTGCTGCTGTCGACCTCGTTGGCACCGAGGAGGTCGGGGCTGCGTCTGCTCCTAGTGGGAGGCGCCGCAGCGGCAAGGGCAAGGGGGGCAAGGGTGGTGGAGGGGACGGCGGGGGCGGCGGTGGTGGCGGTGGAGGAGGCGGAGGGGGTGGGGGTGGAGGTGGGGGTGGTGGCGGGAGTGGGGGCGTCGGTGGCGGGAGTGGGGGCGTCGGTGGCGGCGGTGGAGGTGGTGGCGGCAGCGGCAGCGGCAGTGGGGGTGGCGGTGGCGGTGGTGCTGGTCGGGGTGGAGCCGCGCAGCGTGGAGGCTTTGGCGGTAGCCAGCGACAGTAGCAGCCGCGTTCCCGTGAGACCCCGTCGCCCCAGCAGCTTCGTGAGTGGTACGCTGGGCGTGGGAGGTCTGGGGGTGTCGGTCCCTGCACTTACGTTCTCCGCACCGGCGAGTGCCGTGGGGAGACGTGCGGACTGCCACACACTACGCAGCGCTGTTTCGGTCGCCTGTCTGACGCCTGGCGCGCACAATTTCCTGGCGCCGCTGAGCTCCCTCGCTGGGCTGATCTGCTTAAGTCTGGTGTTGCTATCTTTGATCTTGATTTCGATGCTATCCTTGCTGCCATGTATGCTGTGACTGATAGTGCTGAGGGTGACTGTTACCTGTGTGTTCCACCCGACCCGGGCATTGAGGCTGCTGCTCTAGGTGCTAGTGAGTCTGCTGCTCCAGGTGCTAGTGAGTCTGCTCTCTCTGGTACTGCGCCTGCTGAGGCCTTGCACACCTTCACGCTTGACTCAGTTGCTTCCCGCTCCTTCTTTCGCGACAGCACCACACTCACGCCGCTCAGTCGGCCGGTTGCAGTCTCCCTGGCGGACCCCTCTGGGGGCCCAGTCCTTGCGCACTCCTCCACGGTTATGCCGTGTCCGGCGGCCCCGTCGGGCTCACTGTCAGGTCTTCACCTCCCCTCGTTCTCTACGAACTTGGTGAGTGGAGCTGACCTCCAGGATGTGTGGGTTGACCAGTTCACTCCTGGAGGTCAGCGTGTGACCCACTGTACGTGCACTCGGACGGGCCGCCACCTGGCCACGTTCACCCGTTGGCCTGGGTCGAGCCTGTACACACTGACTACTGAGTCTCCTCCGGTTGCTGCGTCTGGTAAGGTAGCCGCGTCTGGTCAGGTGTTTGCTGCCGCGTCCAGGTCTGGTCCGGAGTCTGCCCCCTGCTCGTGTCGTCCCCTGTCACACCAGACTCTCCTTTGGCACCACCGCCTTGGTCACCCCTCCCTGCCTCGACTCCGAGGTATGGCCTCCCGTACCCTTGTCTCTGGTCTCCCCCAGTCTCTCCCTCCCCTCCCACCGGGGCCT